GTGAAAAGTGGGAGGGATGACAATTGAAAATAATTTTTTCATATTGAAAATCAAAAAAAGGAATAAAATCATAGCATTTGATTTGTTTCTGTCGCGTGACTTTGCATACTTTATTCAGTATTTGTTGCTCTTTATAGGTCGGCATTAGTGAAGATACCGAAATTCTTCATACGATTTTCATTCCGTCCAGCAAATGTGTTTGCGATCTGAATCTCGTCCAAGCTTTCCGTGAATTTCTTATGACAATTAAGTAATGTCAAGTTGCTGAATCGCTGCTGTTTCTAACTATGGTCGTTCACTGTTCAAGTAATGTAATTCTTCTTGCCATCGAATATTTCATTGATTCGAAAGGTGAAAGACAAAATATAAAACTTTTATCAACTCAAAACAACTACTCACCTTCGTTTGGCTTGAAAAAGCTGGTAATTTTCTTCATTTCGTCTGATAAAACTGATAAAAATACTCTGCCGGAGCTGGAAGTACAAAACACTCTGCCGAACGAAGCGAAGGGGTTGCCAAGGCATGGCGTTTGATCAAGGGGCAAGTCGGCCCCAGGGCACAATTACCGCGAAAAGCACAGGAGCCCCACAAAATACCTGGCGTTTGAAATTAAAGAAAATACAGAGAATATAGCAGAATATAGACGGAAAAAAACTTGTTTCAAGTCTTTTTTAATTTTAATTATTTTTCTTTTTAGCGAAAAAAGTGGGGGCGGGGACGCAAAAAAGTGGTGGGGCTGCGGCCCTACCAGCCCCTCTCTCTCTGCGGTCCCTGGAGGCTAAAACTTTCTAGATGACTGTCCCATTCATACACGGTTTTTCTGAAACTGAATTTTTCACTTTTCACCTCCCAAGTTTAGCTTTTTTCGTAGCAAAATGGAAATCCAAAATTTCCGGATTCGAATATTGGTAGAAATATATCACTCGTCACCAAGATTTCGTGCTTCTCACGTACGTCGATGATTCTTTGTTATACGCGCCTCTAGAAAAAGTCACGACTTCGAATCAGCTAGCAGTAAAAAACGAAACCTTCGTTTGTGTCTATTACTACCTGAAACGTAACTACTCAATGAACAGTTAGTAGTAAATTGCTGTCAGTCTTTTATCAGGAAATATATAAATGCAAACAAATGAAAGCAGAAAAAGGTCTTTTTCAAAAGGTGTAAGGGAAATATAATATTTGCCTTTATCAGTTATTTGACGTCCGCGGTCGTGCCCATTTTTAGCACTTCATTCTTGTAATTAAAATGAAAGAGGCCTTATGTCAAACTAATTCACCATTTGAACGCATTAGCACTATTCTTCTAACGACGTCATATGTTGCAGCGAAAAGCAATCGATTTTCACCAAAATTCTGTTAAGAATAAGCCGGCGAACAGCTATTCAATTCACAAGTGAAGGCAAAACGTTCTTCTTAACAAGTCCGACCAAAAAATACACCCAAATCAAATGTTTACTTTCGTGCCTGTGTAACATTTAATAGTCTATCTCAGGCTGCACAAAGTCAGAAATTACCAAAAGGTGATTTCATTAATGTTTCGTCGCAATATTACTTTGGGTCATCGATTTTGATCACGAAAACTATCAAGAAAAGTAAATTGTTGGCGAGCTGAATTCACGGGCGAACTCAGTCGCTCAAATGGCATTAAAAACTGCAGGCTTTACTCACCAACAGCTTACAGCTGGTCAAAGGAACGACGTGAACAATTTTTTTTTCGCCAATTAAAGAAATAAAAAGATACATCGTTATGGTTCTGAATCGAAAGCCGAAAGCGCTGGTGTAAAATGCTTTATTTCGTCACCACAGAACTATATATCCTCTCGGGCTTGTTATTTCGGAAGTGTAAGATCGTCGTATATAATGTCATGTATTTTTTACTTATCACTAAGCTCAGTAGTTCGAAGGCCGATAAGTGCTAACATGTGGTTAAGTTTTAATTCAGGTATCTTTTCCTTTTGGTCAAAAGCATTTTCTTGGATAACGTACTCTGTTCTTTTTAGAGCCGATTTAGAACATCCAATCATCAAATGAGAGAATTAAAGTGAATCTGCTTTTAAGCTTCCTCAGTTATCTGAATCTAATTTTCACAATATCCCTGGGTTATCTAAACCCAGAATCGAACAACAGGGCCCTGCAAGAGATTCAAAACCACTTTTCAAAAATTCCAACCCTCCCCTCCTCCATGACCATGGCTCTTTGACTTCACTTTCGATGGAGAGTCTTTGTAATGTGCTAAGTGAGCCAATAAGAGCATTCTCTTTCTGACACCTGTCAGAAATGACTGTCACATCGCTTGTCTTGCATTGTTTCTGGTTCCACCAAACAAGAAGCCAAAGCTTCGCGCGAAGGTCGCATAAATCGATGGAAAAAACACGGGCTGTAATTTACAACTGATATCACACCTCACACTCGGCTAATATAAAGTATGTATGTATTATCAAAGTGTCTGTAAATGATCACCAGCAAAGGTTTCACTGCAAGGGGCTCAGTTAACATGAAGGGAGGAGGATCCTAACAACAGGAGGATCCTATAGAAGGCGGATCATCCTTAGCGCCATATGCTTTCACCTGTCTAGAGTTTACATGCAAACGGTTGTAAAGTCCCTACTCAGCGCTAAGATCCTTCTATAACAGGATTTTCCTAGCTGAGACTGGGTAGGGAGATCCTAGCACAACAAAGATCCTAGCTCCTCGAAAGCTGCTTCGGCTAGAAAGCTCCTGCTACAAAGGACAACCCTAATACAAAATGGCGGCAGTAGTGGTGTCCCAGCAGAATTATACCAGTTTTTTGAGCAGCAAGTGGGCAGCAAATTTAATAAATAGCTCGTGAATAAAATGCGCGGGAAACTTGTTTAATTTATGCTAACCATATTTAGGCAAGTACTAGTAATGACGTCACAACACCATAAGGTCCATTTGACAGTTTAGCAAGCCCATTAGAAACGGCTAATGGCTTCTATTTGGCGCCAAAAGTCGGATATATATATATATATATATACAAAACACACACATACACAAAGTGGAGTTGAAAAAGGTTGTTGTCCTTGGTTTTTACCTTCTTCTTCACCGAGGGGTGTTCTTTTTATTATAATGTCGTGCGTGATGTAGAAATTAGAAGAAATGCTATTGAGTATTGATCTCTTTTAGTAAAAAACATAGTACAAAAATTGCTAATTTGTCGCGTTTAACTTTCAGAAATAATCAATTACGTTCCCATCCAGAACCCTTAAAGCTTCCTAGAAACAACAAAAAAATCAGTAAACATGCGTGACTCGCTTTATGTTTAAATTTGGATATTAAGTAAAAATTTTCAACTTCAGTGACAAATAGACTTTTACCAACTTGACATTTAGTTGTAAAATCAGTCCTGTAAAAAAACATGAAAAAGTAATAAACTACTGGAATATGTGGCTAAACCCTAGCCGGAACTCAGAACGAACTGGTTTGAGCAGATTAAACTTAGTTTGAATCGTTGTTAAATTGGTTCCATCTCAAAAGGAAAAAAAGTTTCATCAACACGAACAAAATTTGAATGTCGAACTACATTTGTAAATAATTAACGACATTTTTAAGGAAATTGTATGTTATCTTTTGTCGTTGAATGAAGGCCAATTTTTATACTTTTTTTATTTTTGGACGCATCTTAAGGCCTAATATAAAGGTGCTCAAAGAATCCGGCGATCTGCGACAGTCAGCTAGCCACAACGAAGGGAAAGGCCTCATTGTATTTCTTTACTGGTATGAATTTTTTTTTTTTGTATGTTGTTTCACTGTGCTAAAACGAACATGAAAAAGAGAATTTGCTGAGTTTTCAATCCATTTCGCTCTGTCCAAGTCTCTTAATGTTTAAAATATATATTTTGTTTCTGGTTTCTCTTTTTCCCTCTCGTTAGGGACCGTTCATTTTTTATGAGAGAGGGGGGGCGGGTGGGATTTGGGGCGGGGGGCACTCGAAAAAAATTGGCTTGAAAGGGGGGGCCAGCCGAAAAAAATGAAGGAAAGGGGGGGGGTTGGACGAAAAAATTATATTAAAAATAGGATAAGAGATGTTTACAAATCGAAGAAAAATTGTGCTCTTTTATTTATAACAAATATGATAAAACAGTTCCAGGGTAACAAGAAAACTTCTCAACAGCTTTTATATTTTATAAGGACAGTGAACATACCATAATAACAGTCTTGAATAGCAACAACTTTCTTTTCATTCATAAAAATGTTGTTGTCAAGCTCATATAATTAAAACCAATAATTTGAGTCCTGAATTGGAACTGACCTCGGTACCAGAGCTTTTCTCTGAGAAATTTAATGGGAGGGGCATGAAACTACTACGAGGTGTCCCCTTCCTCATTTTCGACGTTCTCTTCGATCTCTGAAGACGACTCAAATGATGTCGTTCTTGCTTTTATCGCCTCAGACGAGGAATATGTAGACGAGCGGCCAGCTACAACACGCTCAGGACGAGCAGTAACAAGAAGAGCTGAAATTGACTTTTCATTCTTTTGAGTGATGATTTGTTAAAAACAGCTTTCTAGCTTTCAGCTTTCTTTCACTAAATTACGTGAAATGTAACAAAACGAAATTTTAATGCAGTAACTTTTTTAATACCTTATGTATTTTTTTATTCATGGGGGGGGGGGGGCCTTCCAAAAAATTACTCTGATGAGGGGGGGGGGCATGCGAAAAAAATCGGAAATTGGGGGAGGGTCATACAATTTTCAAATTACACTCCTCCAAATCCCACCAGCCCCCACTACCCCATAAAAATGAACGGTCCTTTAGCCTCAACTAGAAAATAAGGTAAAACTGCCAATTAATGAAGCCTATATTTCTCACAAAAGATATTGTAGCACACCCGTGTCAAAAAAAGACATTTCCTTGCATAACCAAAGAGATCATATTTACGCATCTGTTTCTTAGGTATCTAAAGAGTGATTAGTATTTTTAGTGATGATGGTTTTCTTGTGTCTTGCAGTTGAACGAGTTAGGATCGAGTGATTAAAATGGTGGTCCGCAGAGCAGTTTTTATTCAATCATTGATTGTGGTGGTCTACGTTCTTTTTAGCAAGCAAGCCGGTAACGTTGTGGTTTTATACTGATAATATTCTTTTACACATGGCTTGCATTCCTTTAAGTTTCAAAAACGTCCATTAATGAAATCAACAAAACCAGACAATAATAATTTAGCCTTTCATAAGATGATTTCTCCCGTGAAAAAAATCCGGATCCAGGATGGCGCACAATAGACCATCTGCTGTTGTCAACTTTGTACTTTTATTCTTTTCAGTACTAAATGTGAGACTGAAGTTGACCGTTCCGTTTGATAAAAGCTTCGTTAGTTAACTTTTTTTGTGGAAATAATGGTGAAAAATGTTTGTTAGCAACAATTTAAAAAAATGATCACATAATAAAGTAAAAAGGGTTGTATCAAAACAAGGTATAACTCCGGTCTCGAATCCTAAAAACGTAAAATGGGCAATTTCGTCGCGTATTAAGCACTAATAGCCTAAACTTTCCCACACGTTCTACAAAATCATCAACGCTTTAAGTGTTTTTAGCTATCTTACACTAATCTATAGAGTTAGTTGGGGGGAAGATGAAAAAATCCATCTTCCTATGTAAAAAGTTCGGTATGAGAAGGATGAAAGTTTGTTAGTGACAGTAACATTTTTTAATTAATTACAAGTCCGTGGCAAATCGTAATTCTAGTCCGTCTCCATACCTTAAACTATTTCCGTACATAAGATTTCCTTTAATCTTATTTTTCTTTTCAGTTTGCACTTGGGACTTCTGTAATTATCCACCTAATAATCCATGTGAACAGAAAGTACCATTTGGCAAAGACTCCTGCAAGACAACAAGACTTTGCATGCAGAATACATGCTGGGGCGGCTGTACAAAGCCCAAAAAAAAATTCGACCAGGCATGCAAAAATGAGAAGGAGGAAGCTGGAATACAAGGCTGGGAAAACTACAAATGCTGTGCGTGCAATACCGACATTATAACTACGATGTAATCGCGAAGTACTTATTATAAGTGCCAGATGTATTTGAAAATTCTAGCAATAAACAATGTGCATCACTTTCGAAAAAAATGTGCCAAAATTTATTGATCGAACTTATGAAGTCCGTGAATCCAGCAAATGGGAGATTACCGTACAGTAAAACACAGGGCACTGCTTGATCTAAGTATTAAACAATAAACAATTGCAATTACATGTAATTGGCCTCTACAGAAAATACCATAACATACCATAATCCTCTTTGTCTGTCACCCCATTTAATTCCCAAGAGAAACTCAAGACAATTCTTAAATATTTAAAATTTTGGGATGGCAAACAAAGAGCATTATGGTATGTTATGGTATTTTCTCAGTGTATGCTCAATATTGGTACTCAAAAACGTCTTTGCTTATAGCTCCCTTACCAGTGTGGCTATTGCTTTCAGACACTGTACTGAACAATTAGCTATTAACTAAATGAATTAACTGCAGTTTTGAATTAAGCGCAGGGACTTCATCGCACCGCTGCATGCTGCTTCGTCTTTACACGTCCGAAGATGTTTAAATGGAGGTTTGAATTCTTTAAGTCTTATTATAATATTAATCGAAAACCAAATAATCCATCGCTTCTCATCCCTTTATTAAAGCAGTTCTTTCTGGCTAAACGAGTTGTTCATTTTTGCAGTTCTTCGCGCATTTGCATAACTTTCAATGATAATGCCTCTGACAACAGTGTTGTAAATATGACAGTCCTGCACTTCTGCAGTTGAATTAGCAAAACTCTGAGGGGCTCTGGTTAGCACCAGTGCTCGTTTTTGAGTGTGTCCTTATACCGAAGTCGCTTTAGCTAGTGCGACTGGTTATGACTGAAAATGAATTAGATTTAAAGTTCTGGCGTAAGGAAAAGAGAGGACTGTGTGGAAGTTTGCTTTTGTCTCGATGAACCCCTTTAAGCCCTTGATATCCACATATAAATTCTCAAAACTGATCTCCATGCATTTCCTCCACGAATTAGTACTGAGGGAGAATTTAATAGAAGAACAAAGCATTTTCCCTTTGGTGACTAAGTTTATTCTCACAATTCTATCTCTTGATGATGAGCTGTTGCTGTCTGGAGAAAATCAATGTTGGTCCGTTATTTGGGCTTTTAAGGGTTAAGAGATCTCAACAATATCTTCCATCGCCTAAACGACTAAGTGTGCCCGCTCAAGTGTGTAAAAAAGCCTCTTCGGTTGACGTACGTCGCTCAAAACTCCATCATATCCCCGTTGTTGAAAATGACTGTCTGGAAACAACTTGGATAATGACTAGCTCTATCGTTCCTCTGAGTATGAAGAATGACCGCGAAATTTTACAAAACCTGCGAGCAACCTGGCTCTCCCTGGGGTACAGGTCCCGCCGCCAGAGCGCCCGGAGAGTTTACTGGCGAGCTAAATTTTTCTTTGAATTCTGACCACCTATACTACAATCCAAGACGCCAATTCGCACACCCACCCCACCCCTCACTCGTCACCAAGATTTCGTGCTTCTCACGTACTTCGATGATTCTTTGTTATACGCGCCTCTAGAAAAAGTCACGACTTCGAATCAGCTAACGGTAAGAAACGAAACCTTCGTTTGTGTCTATTACTACCTGAAACGTAACTACTCAATGAACAGTTAGTAGTAAATTGCTGTCAGTCTTTTATCAGGTAATATATAAATGCAAACCAGAAAGCGGAAAAAGGTCTTTTTCAAAAGGTGTAAGGGAAATATAATATTTGCCTTTATTAGTTATTTGACGTCCGCGGTCGTGCCCATTTTTAGCACTTCATTCTTGTAATTAAAACGAAAGAGGGCTTATGTCAAACTAATTCACCATTTAAACGCCTTGACACTATTCTTCTAACGACGTCATATGTTGTAGCGAAAAGCAATCGATTATCACCAAAATTCTGTTAAGAATAAGCCGGCGAACAGCTATTCAATTCACAAGTGAAAGCAAAACGTTCTTCTTAACAAATCCGACCAAAAAATTCACCCAAATCAAATGTTTACTTTCGTGCCTGTGTAACATCTAATAGTCTATCTCAGGCTGCAAAAAGTCAGAAATTACCAAACGGTGATTTCATTAATGTTTCGTCGCAATATTACTTTGGGTCATCGATTTTGATCACGAAAACTATCAAGAAAAGTAAATTGTTGGCGGGCAGAATTCACGGGCGAACTCAGTCGCTCAAGTGGCATTAAAAACTGGAGGCTTTACTCACCAACAGCTTACAGCTGGTAAAAGGAACGACGTGAACAATTTTTTTTTCGCCAATTAAAGAAATAAAAAGATACATCGTGATGGTTCTAAATCGAAAGCCGAAAGCGCTGATGTAAAATGCTTTATTTCGTTACCACAGAACTATATATCCTCTCGGGCTCGTTATTTCGGAAATGTAAGATCGTCGTATATAATGTCATGTATTTTTTATTTATCACTGAGCTCAGTAGTTCGAAGGCCGATAAGTGCTAACATGTGGTTTTAATTCCAGTATCTTTTCCTTTTGTTCAAAAACATTTTCTTCGATAACGTACTCTATTCTTCAGGTGTGGTGATTCTTTTTAGAGCCGATTTAGAACATCCAATCATCAAATGAGAGAATTTAAGTGAATCTGCTTTTAAGCTTCCTCAGTTATAATCTGAATTCAATTTTCACAATATCCCTGGGTTATCTAAACCCAGAATCGAACAACACGGCCCTGCAAGAGATTCAAAACCACTTTTCAAAAATTCCAACCACCCCCACCCACCCACCCCCCCCCCTCTCCAACTACCCCCCCCACCACCCACCCCCCCACACCCACACCGCCACCCACCAGGACGCTGTACCCCTCCACCCTAGCCCGAGCTCTGCTCCCGCCACACTGCCCCACACCCACACCATCAGCTAAGGAATGATACA